CCGATGAAGCTTTCATCCCAGGTAACACTGCCGATGGTGGTGAGCTGAGATTGCGGAGGCCGGGTTAGAGAATCAGCAGGGTTGAGGCGGCAGGCGGGGTACTCGATTTTCAGCTCAGGTACGTACTGCTCCAGGTACTCCATCCATCGGGCATGTTTAGGGGTGAGATGGGGTTGTGTCTTCAGGAATTGCAGGGTGCAGTGGTCAGTAAGAACAGTGACAAGTTGCATATGGACATAGCAACACCACTTCTTGATTGCATGGGCGATGGCCAGCGCCTCATGATCGTGAGTAGGATAGTTGCACTCATCAGGCTTGAGCTTCCGAGATTCGAAAGCAATGGGCTGGAGGCCATGTCCTTGATCCTGGCAAAGGATTGCACTCGTTGCAACCTGAGAGGCATCTGTCCATATCACATAAGGGAGGGAAGGGTTGGGTAGGACTAGGGTAGGAGAAGAGGTTAGTGCACACTTGATAGAGTCAAAGGCTTTTTGCTGGTCCGAATCCCAATGGAATCCTTCATTCTTGCGGACAAGATTGGATAGTGGGGAGGTGATAGCAGCAATGTGGCGGATGAATTTGCGGTAGTAGTTAGCAAGGCCAAGGAAGGCTTGTACTTCTTTTATAGAAGTTGGGGGTTTCTAGTCTTGGACGGCTTTGATTTTGGAGGGATCCATGGCAAGCGGGTTGTGTGAGATGACATGGCCCAAGAAAGGAATTGAGGACTTTGCAAACTCACACTTGTTGTGTTTAACGAAGAGGTGGTGCTCACGAAGTCGAGTGAACACCTGTGTTAGATGCTCAACATTTTCTTTCAATGATTTGCTATAGATCAGAATGTCATCAATGAAGATTATGACAACCGGTCCAAGAAATCACGAAAGACGTTGTGCATCAAGCACATGAAAGTGGCAGGGGCATTTGTTAGTCCAAAAGGAAGAACCAGGAATTCGAAATGCCCATACCGAGTTCTGAATGCAGTTTTCTTGATGTCTTCGTTAGCGATACGAACGTGATGATATCCGCTTTGTAGATCCAACTTGCTAAAAATTGTGGCTTCACCGAGTTGATCGAAGAGTTCTTCCATATGTGGCAGATGGTAGCGGTTCTTGATGGTAATCTTGTTGAGTGCACGATAGTCGATTTACATCCGCATGCTGCCATCCTTTTTCTTCACGAAGAGAATCGGTGCTGCATAAGGAGAGGAGCCGACTCGGATGAAGCCATCCTTTTTCTTTCCACTTATGCTTGCTGAAATTCAATCTTGGCTTTGTAGGATCCGATGGTACAAGGGACAGGGAAAGGTAATGGTCTACAAGGAATTGAAGTTCCATTTGCCATCAACACTGTCTGAGGTAGGGATTTAGGTTGGGTTGGAAGGGAAAGCTTGGGAACTAGAGAGGAGGATATAAATTTTGAAGAAGCACCACTGTCAATTAAGGCTTTCACTCTTTGACCTCGGATAGTCATGGGAAGAAGCAGAGGTTTAGAAGGGCTATGATTTTCAAGAGAAGAGATGGAGGGGCTGATTTTGTTACCAGGAAGTTGCCCCGAAATCACTGGCGACTTCCATTTCCTGGCGTTGGAAGAAGAGGCGGTTGATTGGTGCGCCCGCGGCAGAACTTCCAGATGTGTCCTTTCTTACCGCACTTGAAGCACACGACTGGTGGCTTCAGGTTTGCTTTCTTTTCTCGATCAGGTCCAGGTCCATAGGAGCGGGTTCTTGCTGGTTGGTGTCTGTTGAAGTTAAGAACTGGTAGGAGGGAGCAAAAGGAAGAAGCGGGCTGCGAGGAAAGCGAGGCTTACTGTAGGCAAAGTGAACAGCGGCATACCGTTCAGTCACGTGTATCATTTCCTGGAGCATAGTGCAGTCTCTCAGCTCCACCTCCATGCACACGTTCGGCTTTAATCCATGCTTGAAGCGATCCATTCGTTCAGCAAGGAAGAATCTGGAATTTCTTGAGTGATGTCACGGAAGCGAGAAGCATACTCTTGGACTGATTTCAGTTGCTTGAGGGCAGCCAAGGAGTCTCGTGCCTTGATGTTCGGGTTCACGGGTTGAAATGTTGACGTGAAGACTATAGGATCGCAAGCGCCTCCAGCTGACGTTGGAGAAACTTAGCTGACGTAGAAAGTTTCAGCACTTGGCAGGGGGAATTTTGCACTGAAAATGAGTTGTGTTTGAACAAGAAACAAACAAGCATTTATAAGCAGATAGAAAGATTGTGCGGTTCGCGTAACGCGGCTCGTGCACTGTGCAACCTTGGAATTCTGCCAACCGCGGAATTCTAGCAACCGCGGAAACGGATTTCGGTAACCGACACCAAGTTCAAAACCGACACCGAGTTCGGTTCTCCGGAATTCAACTGAACGCGCTCTGGGTCTGTGTTGGAGGGATTTCCTGCACCTTGTTTTCTCCCGCTGTTCTTGGCCGCAGTTTCTTGCCAGGCAACAGAAAGAGCATTTCCAAGCTACCGTTTCCCTGCACGCATCACCTAGAGCAATCTCAAGCACCCTATTTTCTTAGCCATAGACCTTCCAAATTCTTCCACCTCTTAGTCACGCTCTTTCCTTGCTTCATCGTTATTCCGCCACTTCCGCCGCTGCATTTAGGGTTCCACGTTTTTCTTCTCGCCGTCATTCTTTCCCTTTTCATCCGTCGTGCCATTTCAACGCCTAGATGGACGGTCCTCACACTGTCCTTAGCATCGCCGCATCCTTGTCCTTAGGCACAGTGTTAGGTCGGTAGGGCAGCAGCGAACCACCCTAACAAAGACTTGCTTGAAGTGTTCCGAAGAGGTGATAGATGCGTGCGCTGATTGCCACCATGCGATTGTAGAACCACGGAGAAGAGTTCCATTGAAGGCATTCAACACGCGCTATGTGGCTCAGCAGCAAGTATTGCTCCACGAGAAATAGCCATCGGCTCACGACCGGCTGATTTCTCCCGGAAAAGAAAAAATCAGGGAGAGCGGGTCTAGCGCGCTGATTTCCATCTGATGGTGCAGCAGGGTTCACGCTTACCACCACTCCAGCTGCAGCTATACTGGCTTGCAATTCTGCCTGCAAGCTTTCTCTAACCTCAGAAATGATTTGGGCTCGGTAGGTTTGCAAAAAACCAGCCCAATCGTCAGGAGAAGGGGGCCCATTAGTCGTCATGACGAGTTCTTAACAAAAAAAGGGTCGGAGATGGCTTTGATAACCAAATGAAACAGCCACTAGGCTGTTTGGAGTAGATAGTAGAGTTAGAAGGTAATCTTGGAAGAGTTGAAATGTGAGAATAGCAAGGCAGTTTTACTAGAGATCACATGATGGATTCCAATCAAGAAGCACACCACTATATACAAGGAAAATGACCGAGGCATCTCGAGGTCGCCCAAGTCGCATCTCACCTTTGCTAAGTTAAGGACAGCAAAGCATAGGTAATGATTACATGCATACACACTTAGCCTTGCTGGAATTCCAGAAAGTAGCATGCATAGTCTAGGAGTTAACTATTGCAGCCTAGTTGAGTTTTCCTTGTATTGCTGTTGCTGACGACATTCATAGAAATAATGAGATATAGCTGTGTTGGTAGGAACCATGGCTGTAGTTGCTTTCCGCGAGGTGCACAGTCGATTATTCTGCTGCACTGCTTGGCTGGCTTGTGTGCTCTCTGTAGTTGTTCCCAAGGTTGGAAACTCAGATTGACTGGTTGAACAATTCGAGGTTGGGTTCAACCTTCGAATTGCCCAAGGGTGTGTTCCGAGATTGGGTTTCAACCTCGAAATCAATTTGAGTTTAGTTGGCGAAATCGGGAGTGACCATTCCGCCTCCGTCTTGTTACATTGTGCCATTTCAGTCTACTATTAATTGCCGTCACCGTGCCTGTTTCGGAAATCTTCAGCATGCACACCATAGCCACGGCATCTAATGTAGGTACCGTCGATTGCCTTCACCACCCCAGGTATGCCCGCCTCATACATGAATTCCGCTTCCATCAAATCGACTTCCATTAAGGTTGGCCATCTTACCCTTTCTGGCTGCAATTCGGTACGAACGAAGAGGTTGAAATCGTCACATATGTGCATTACATGCATGTGCGATAGGCCGAGCTCGAGTGCGAGACACCGATAGCTGCGGCCCTGAGCCATCCTTGTGAGCGCGATGGCCACACACACCGATGTGGGCAGGCTCGACGCAGCGTTGATGGGTCGGTGACGACGGTACCGGCTGGTCAGGTATTCGAACACAAGACGGTCCACTCGAAAGGGCACGGCCGGGAGTCGAGGGATGAGGTGGATCCATCGACCTTGCGCATGCCGCCTGTCGACATGATGTTGGAGTGGTTCCGCCACCCACAGCGGACTACTCGTGACTTGGGGTGACGAGGAGAGAAATGCGGACTTGGGACGAGAAGGAACTAGGAAGCGGGAATTGCGTGAGCATGAGGTATACGGAAAGGAGAGAAGCAAGAGAGAAGGTTGGAGGAAAGAGTGATTGAGTGGAAGAAAGGAATTGGAAGTGGCGAGAAACAGATTGACGTGGGGCAAAAAGTTGGGTTTCGGACGGGGCGTGTTCAACAAGCATTCGGACTTCGGACCAGTGGCGTGTTCAGCAAGAAAGTCGCGGTTGCGTGTGCGACTCGGCTTGACACAAGGCGCGTGAATTACTCGCAGCGCACACGGCAGTTACGAAGCGCGAAATCGCTTGCACTTCCACTATAAATCTGTTTGAACATTTGTGCTTTGTATCTCATTGGAACTAGTGGAATGCTTGTGTGTATTGACAACATGCAACCACTTTGAGATCAGATTATGAGGCAATGCCCTTGAGGCTATTTGCACAAGTATTTCTAAATACTTTTCGCTGCGCCGGAGGCGATAGTCGCCTAGAATTGGTATCAGAGCTAGCGTCGGAGTGCTGAAGAAATTTCTCCGCTACTCTATTTAGTGCGCTAAGTGGAGCTGGGTGTAAGGGCGTTGTAGCATTCTAAAGAGTAGGACGAAGCCTCCAGAATGACGGGCGATATTGGAGAGGCTAGTTCGGGCTCCTCTGTGAGCATTGGAGACCCCCAGGTTAAGGCTCTTTTAGAATTGCTAGCGCATGGATCGTTGGTAGCGAAACCGACGATAGGGCTCAGTGAAGCCCAGCATTTTAATGGCAGCAATTACAGTACGTGGCGCTTGAAGTTTATAAGGAGGGCGAAGGAGGTAGGATTATGGCGATTCTACCGTCGAGATGAGAAGGCCGAAGGAGCAGCAACTACAAGCAACCAAGAGGAGGATTCGGCATATCAGAAAAAGAGTGAGCAAGCATTCTTTCAGCTATGCCATTCTGTTTCTGATGGAATTGCTGTGGGCCTGGATAAGTTTTCAGGCGAGAAAAATCTGGCTCAAGAGGCGTGGGCATACATGGAGTCAGCCTACCTTGGCCAAATGGAGATGAACATTGCTGCAGTGAGGGGGAAGCTAGTGCTGTTGAGCATGGAGCCAAAGGAAGCCGTCATCGAGTACATCAATCGAGCCAAGAGCTACAACGACGATTTGACCGCAATGGGAGCTGAGGAGAACGAAAAGGCGATGATGGGATACATTGTCAACGGGCTCTCAAAGGAGTGGGCTGCATATCGACCGGCATTGATTTGCAATCCACCTGCAAATATGACGAAGCTTCTGGAGATGCTGCAAGCCTTGGCGATATCCAAGGAGGATGTGATACGACGGGAGAAAGCGGCCCAAGGAGAAAATGGGACTGCGGGTGTGGAGCAGGAGAGGCCTGCAATGGTGAATGCAGTAGCTGCAGGGAGAGGCATGGGTGCATGCTTCCACTGTGGCAAGATGGGGCATAAGGTTTTTGACTGCTATGATAACCTGAGAAGCCGCAGCTACAAGGGGAAAGGTGCTGCTGGTATGGGATGGAGTGGAGTGCAGCAGAGTGGGGAAGGGGGTAGCAGAGGAGATAGAGGAGATAGTAGGCAGCAGAGGGGAAAGTTCTTTGGAGCTTGCCACCACTGCAAAAAGATAGGGCATAGAGCGATCGATTGCTACTCAAACCCCAATGGCCGGAGTTATAGGGGAACACAGCAGCAAGGTTCGGCACCGGCAAAGGCACATGCAGCTGAAGCAGAAAAGGGGGAAACTGATGTTATTTTGGGTGGTGCATATAAGGCGAATGTTGCGCATGCATCAGGAGTGTGCCTGATGGCAAAAGGGGGTGGAGAAGCTGCATGGTATATGGACAGTGCGTGCACTCAGCACATGACCAATCACAGTGAGTGGCTGAATGATTTGAGGGCATCAAGTGTGCCGTATGTGCTTGTGGGAGATGACCGGAAATTGCTTGTGAAGGGAGAGGGAGAGCTGATTTTGCAAGGGCAGTATGGGGAATTGAAACTGGAGAATGTGCTGCTGGTTGATGGTCTGTCACTGAATTTGATCAGTCAGTCACAGCTTGACAACACTGGATGCAAGACATTCAGTAACAAGGGCAGCGTGTGGATGTTTGACCATGCATGGAATGTGGTTGCTAAGGGGATGCTGAAGAATGGGTTGTATGAGATGCTGTTGAATGAGAAGGGCATGACAGATGAGAAGGTTACCTACCAACAGCCGACAGAGGAAGGGGTGCTGGCAAGGGAGGAGCTGCGGGCGAGCTTGAAAAGTGTACCTGTAGAGGAGCTGTGGAAGGAAGCGGTATCGATGGTGGCAGCAGCGGCAAAGGTAGACATCGAAAACCCTGCATAGGAGGTTGGGCCATGCGGGGATGGAGTGGATTAAGGAGTTAGTGCAAAAAGAAATGGCAGTTGGAGTGGAACTGAAGGATGGGGATGGGAGCAAGGGGAAGTGTGACAAGTGTGTAGAGGGAAAAATCACCAAATCCCCCCATCCCAAGCATCAGGTACAGGAGCCATATGGAGTGCTGGAGATAGTAGTAGCTGATGTGTGTGGGCCGCTGAGGGTGGCATCTAGGTACGGGAGAAAATACTTCGTCACCTTTACAGACCTAGGGACTAGGCACACGTGGGTGACTGAGATTAAGGATAAGACTGAGGTCTTCTCCAGTTTTCTCGACTGGATGGTGGAAGCAGAAAGGCAGAGTGGGAAGCAGCTGAAGGTGCTAAGAATTGACAATGGTGGGGAGTTTGTCAATGAGGAGTTCAACAGCTACCTGCGTTCCAGGGGGATTTTAAGGTAGTTGACAGTGCCTTATACTCCACAGCACAACAGCATAGCGGAGAGGGTGAATAGGTCACTGTTGGACTGTGTAAGGACATTGCTGGCGGACAACGGATTACCACTGAAGTTCTGGGGAGATGCCTTGGGGATGGCTTGTTGGGTCAAGAACAGGCTACCTACCAAGGGCTTGGCAGCAGATATGACCCCACCATAGAATGCTTCATGTGGGGGCTGAACCTTGGGATGTGCATGGTGAGAAAGGGATGGGTAATAAAGGATGTGGAGACGGGGAAGGTGGTGGTGACCAGAGATGTGATATTCTATGAGAATGTCACCTACTTAAAGTGGAAAGGGGTGAGTTCGGAGATTGCAACTGCAAGGGAAGTAGCTAACCTAGAGAAGGTGGAAGGGCTGCTGGAGGAGACATCGATGGAAGGGATTGGAGATGAAGTAGAGGAGATTGGAGAAGACGCAGCACATACTTGGGTGTGGGAGCTTCCAGAGAAAATGGCTGCACAGGGGAGAAAAGAGATGGAGCAGCAAGAGATACAGTGGCGGATTAAATTGTCCACATGTTTTGCCTTTTTTGGCATTTTTATGAGTGCAGAGGCGTATACATTAAGCCTTAATGTACGGTGTGCATTAACGCTGAGAAGTTCAGTTAGAGCAGTCACTCCAGTGTTCAAACACCAAAGTAGTACCACACATGGTCCTTAAACTCCTAAGCATAGCATGGGAGAACATGTGGACAATTTGTACCGGAAAATGGTATCACACTAGATTCTAGGAAAACTAGTACCTAGTCCAGCGTCCCTTTGCCCGAATCACTGCCTTGATCCTCCTCGGCAGGCTGTCGATCAGGTTTGCACACACCTCCGGCGGTATCTTGTCCCATTCCTCCTGCACCCTCTCCCACAGCTCCAGCATTCCCCTTGGCGGCTTTTCGTACTTCCCCAGCTGCCTTTTCAAGTATGCCCACAGGTGCTCAATTGGGTTAAGGTCCGGGGAGCACGACGACCATTCCAGCACCGCGTACTCCTGCTCCCCAAGCCAGTCTTGGACCAGACGACACCTGTGCTTGGGATCATTGTCGTGCTGGAAAATGACCTCTGAGGGGGAAAGCTTGAAAAAATCGATGGTCTGTTTGAGCTCATCTTGCAAGATGCTGCGATACAGCGGCCCATCCATCCTGCCATCTATCTTGCACATGAACCCCGCCCCCTCATACGTCATGCAACCCCACACCATCACAGAACCGCCCCCATGCTTAACTGTCTGTTGGACTTGGTGGCTCCGAAGGCTGGTGCCCTCGCGAATCCAGGCGTACGCACGTCCGTCGGAGCAGTAGCGGTTAATCTTCGTCTCGTCAGACCAAATCACCCGCTTCCAGTCCTCCAGCGTCCAGTCGGCATGCGCCCGCGCGAAGTCGAGACGATCGCGGATGTTTTTCGGTGAGAGCCTGGGTTTCTTGGGCTGATGCACGGCGATCAGCCCCGCGGATCGTAAAGAGTTGCGGACCGTCTTCGAGTCTACGGCGAGATCGTGCTTCTCCAACAACATCTTGGCCGCGTCTGAAGAGCTTTTCGCCTCGCCGCTAGTAATCGCACGTATAACTCCGCGCTGGAGACGGGTTGTGATTAAGCGGGGGCGGCCGGCCGAAGGCATCGTAGGTCGCACCTCCTCGCGACTAGTCTCCTCAGCGAGTTTCATACCGTAATCGTGCACGGTGCTCTTGCCTATGCCAAGAAGTTTCCCTATTTTCCTAGTCGAATGCCCCGCACGCAACATGCTTCTGATCCTCGCGCGCTTCTTCTCATTTAACGGCTTCATAGCGATGCGGTCGTAGGCTCGCTTCCGGACTAACAACTAAGCTAGGAACTGGTGCGCGTGACGATGTACACACTGAGCGACGGGGGAAAATAGATCTACTCTTCCGCTCGGTAGGAAATGTCCACATCGACAGTCGAGTAGTAAATTTCAACCCCACTTTCCGTTAGTGTCACAATCGCGCCAAGCAAGAAACGGATGAAGCAGAACTCAAAAACCGAGTAACAGAATGGAAAAAAACGGGTGTTACTATTTTCGAAACATGTGTTGCATAACGATACGTTTCAAAGTGTTAAACATCCGGGCAATTTAATCCGCCACTGTAGGGCCAGAGGAGAAGGATGCAACGACTGAGGTGGAGATGGCACCAAGGGAGAGTGAGCAGGGATCAACTGCACGAGATGATCACGATCCATGGAAGCTGCTAGATAGTGCAGACAGCCGTGAAGCAGAGAAGGAGATTGAGGAACTACTGGAGGATGGGGCAACAGCGATAGGGGTACTAAGACAGGAGACAAGGGGCAGCTGGAGCGGTTTAAGGCTAGGTTAGTGGCGAAGGGCTACACACAGGTAGAGGGGATAGACCATACCGACACATATGCTCCAGTGAGCAAACTGACGACTGCACGTGCGTTCCTCAAGGTGATAGCAGCAAGGAACTACTTTCTAGTGCAGCTGGACATCAAGAACGCTTTTCTGCATGGGGTAGTTAAGGAGGAGCTGTATATGGAGCAGCCACCAGGGTTTGAGGACGGCACTGCAAGCTTATTAAAGCACTATATGGTCTGAAGCAGAGTCCCAGGGAATGGTACAAGGTGATGGACGAGAGGCTGCCGATAGGGGGATTTCAGAAGAGGGAGTGTGACAGGGCGTTCTACTGGAGGGGAGTTGGAAAGGAGAAGGTGTACCTACTGATCTATGTGGATGATATCCTAGTGGCAAGGGCACTTCCAGGGGAGGTAGAAAAGGTGTGTGAGCACCTAGCTGAAGTGTTCCAGATGAAGCAGATTCCAAGGACGACGTTGTTTCTGGGGATGAATCTGGAGAGGAACAGGGAAGAGAGGAAGCTGTTCTTATATCAGCAGAAGTACTACAAGAGGGTGGAGCAAAAGTTTGGTCATGGCTATGCGAAGGCCATTACTACACCGCAAGGTGGAATGGCTGAAAGTGATGATGAGAGTGAAGAGGATGTGCTGAAGTGGGGTGGTCAAGAGCGGACGCTGCAGATGTACCAGTCTATGGTGGGACAAGTTGTGTACCCAGTCTCATGCACCAAGGTTGACATGGCCTATGCAGCAAGCTACTTGGGGCAGCACGCGCAGCAGGGGAGGAAATGGAGGGAGATGAGGTGGACATTAGATTACCTGCTGCAGCATCAGGATGAGGGTTTACTATTTGAAGGAGGAGAGGAGACATTGGAGCTGGTGGGGTATGCTGATGCCTCACATGCATCATGCAAGGAGACCAAGAGAGGGGCATATGGATATGTGTTCCTACTCAGAGGGACAGCTATTACGTGGCAAGCTAAGAAGCTGGCAGATATAGCACTCTCAAGTGCTGAAGCAGAGTACATGGCATTGTCCTCTACATGCCAAGAGGGAGTGTGGTTGAGGAGGTTGCTGAAGGAGTTGGAGATACACGTGAAGGGGCCTACAGTGGTAAGGACGGATAGCAAGTCAGCTATGGACTTGGCGAAGAACGACAACTGGCATGGGAAGACTAAGCACATGGATGTGAAATATTACTGGGTGAGGGGGCAGTTAGAGAAGCAGTAGTTCAAGTTCGAGTTTGTGCGCACTGAGGAGCAGGCAGCTGATTTCTTGACCAAGGTGCTGCCAAGGGCCAACTTTGAGTACTGCAAGGAGAAGGTCGGGATACGTACCTTGAAGGACATGCAAGGGAGTGTGAAGGTAACTTAGAGGGTGTGGTTGGCAGAACCACAGGGGAGGTTTTTTGGAGTGGTTCCGCCACCCACAACGGACTACTCGTGACTTGGGGTGACGAGGAGAGAAATGCGGACTTGGGACGAGGAACCAGGAAGCGGGTATTGCGTGAGCGTGAGGTGTACGGAAAGGAGAGAAGCAAGAGAGAGCGTTGGAGGAAAGAGTGATTGAGTGGAAGAAAGGATTGGAAGTGGCGAGAAACAGATTGACGTGGGGCAAAAAGTTGGGTTTCGGACGGGGCGTGTTCAACAAGCATTCGGACTTCGGACCAGTGGCGTGTTCAGCAAGAAAGTCGCGGTTGCGCGCGCGACTCGGCTTGACACGAGGCGCGCGAGTTACTGGCAGCACACACGGCAGTTACGAAGCGCGAAATCGCTTGCACTTCCACTATAAATCTGTTTGAACATTTGTGCTTTGTATCTCATTGGAACTAGTGGAATGCTTGTGTATATTGACAACTTGCAACCACTTTGAGATCAGATTATGAAGCAATGCCCTTGAGGCTATTTGCACAAGTATTTCTAAATACTTTTCGCTGCGCCGGAGGCGACAGTCGCCTAGACATGATGCGTCAAACTTCTTCACAAAAATGTGGATCTCACCTATACTGTAGGTATAATTGTTCGTATAGCAAGGCTACTCCATAGCATACGTACATATGCCGTACCTAGTGTATAGCTACTCCATATTTCTGTTCCTGGTACTCTCACAACTTGTGACGGCATCGGATAGTATGTGTGCAAGGGCTAGAGCAACAGGGGCGAATACGCTGTGGAGGAAGACTTGGTACAACGAAGTGATGAATACTAGGATGGCAAGTTCGTCCATCATGTCCAAGAGGTGTATTGCTTTGCTGTGCTCTGTCTGTCGAGAAAGGTGGGGTTTTTGTACCCGGGGAAATGTTGGTTTCTCGAGGCGCACGCGCCGAGCCGCGGAAATTGGTCTTGACATTTGCGACGACATTTTCCGGTATCCGTGTGGCGCGTTTTTTTCGTGAATCCCCAATTTTGCAAAGCTGCAAATGACCCCCGGGATTGCGCGGCTCGTCGTGTGGAAGGTCAGGCATTCTCGATTTGCAAGATCGGTGTTATTTCCGCAATATCGAGTGTCCAATCGATCGTCGCTATCGATATGCGGATCTATCTACACCCTCGATCCTCGCTTGTCCCCACTTTTACCACGTCCTAAGGGCCGGTACAATTTTCCCAGCGCTCTGTTCGGCTAATAGACCCCATATCCAAACCAGCCCTCAACATGCGGGTCTAGGTGGTTTGATTGCATTCTAGCATAATAATGTGCGGTTTAGTAAGGTATTTAGACTCGAGCTTGTAAGGCCGCGATTTTCAGAAATGGTGATTTGTACCACGCTCTAGGCTTCGCCAGATTCGAACAGCTTCTCTGAGTTCGTGTGACTGGCGTACCTGCAGGGTACACGTCACGCTGCTTGCCTGACTTGGCTGGGCTGGTGGTCAGGTTAGGTCATCCGTCCTACAGCGGGAGAAGTCCGCCGTAGGCCCCTACGAAGCTCCCTCGAAGGCCCCTATTGTTCACGTGGCGTCTGATCGCCACGTGGCACGACGACCATGTACTCTGATGCGGCTCATATATTTAGGAATTCCGTTCCGCACGCCTCTGCCTGTTTACCGTACTGTATAGGTCGTAAGCACCACCTGGGGATCACCACGAGGTTCTTGGCCCTCGCTCGTCGTAGTTGCCATGGCTCCTCGCGTCCATCGCACCCGAACAGCTCTCCTCGTTCTGCTCGCAGCATGCGTTGCCAGGGCGGCGTGCGCGTGGTACGTCCCGCCACCGGGGACGTCGTTCGTCTGGCACCTTAGCGGCGCAGACTCTGGTACGCCCGCCGCTATGCAACCTTACCGTCCCGTAGAGACCGTCCTTGGAAATAGTACCCGCGATTCCTGCACCCATGCCTCAATTCCGCTACGTTTCCTCGTTGTGACGATGCCAAAGCACCATGTCGCCATGGTGTGACCTGTTCCAGACGTGGATCCGCGCCACCCCGCCAAGGTGTACACGGTGGACGCGAGTCTGGCGGCCAGCACCATGGCGAGGCTGCGGCGCGCGGGCAAGCGGGTGATGTGCTACATCAGCTTCGGCACGGCGGAGGACTGGCGCGGTGACTACCACCAGTTCCCCAACGCCGCGCTCGGCGGGCTCGTGTGCCGGGTATGGCAGTAGTGCGCGCTTTCTCACGCCCGCTTCATCCGCTGCCCGTTACTGCTGGTTGTCTGCTCGCTTTGGGGGCGGGCTAGGGGTGTCGTGACAGGGACGCACCGCTTGCCGTGCGCGGTACCGCGCGGTGGGTTGCGCTTTCGAAGCGGTGCAGCTGAGTGCGATGATGGCGCGTGGCATCCTTTGCCCCCGCAGCTGAGTACGCGGACGAGTGCTGAACGCAACTCTATTGGCGCCATAACGGCTTCGCCTGTGCGTGTGCTTGCTGTGCGTGTGCTTGCTGTGCGTGTGCTTGCTGTGCGTGTGCTTGCTGTGCGTGTGCTTGCTGTGCGTGTGCTTGCTGTGCATGTGCTTGCTGTGCGTGTGCTTGCTGTGCGTGTGCTTGCTGTGCGTGTGCTTGCTGTGCGTGTGCTTGCTGTGCGTGTGCTTGCTGTGCCTGTGCTTGCTGTGCGTGTGCCCAGGGCGATGAGTGCGCGGACGTGTGGCCCGGGGAGCGGTGGGTGGACGTGAAGAGCGCGGCTGTGCGCGCCATCATGGAGGCCAGAGTGCAGGTCACGCGCCGCCCGCCACGCCTTGTCCTTTCCCACCTAGATACCGCACGCCCTCGCTCCTTCCGTTACTCACCCTGCCGTTTCCTCCTCCTCTCTTGCATTCCATCCCTAGCCATTCCTCGCCAAGTTGTGCCATGCAGCGACATCGCAATCAGCTGGTCCATAATCCGCGCACTTGTGCTATCCCGTCCTTGCTGGATCGTGCGGTGCCTTGTGTGTGTGGGGGGGTGCGTCCACCAGGCGGCCAAGAGCAAGGGGTGTGACGGGGTGGACCCGGACAACATTAATGCGTACAGCAACAACATCACGGTGCAGGCCGTCACTGACTTCACCGTCACCGAAGACGACCAGTACGACTATAACTCCTGGGTCGCCAACACCGTGCACAAGTACATGCCCTTGCCCCGCCCACGCCTAGGCGTTTGTCGGCTGCATGCTTTTGTTTGTGTGCACTGGTCTTGAGACCCGGTACGGTGGCCCACTGTGCAGGTACCGTCCGTGGATGCAGATGCCGTCAGCATTCATACGAGACCACTCCTCTCAGAATGAGGCCGTCATACCATTCCCCTCACCCGTCCATGTGCTCCCCCATCCCGCGCCTCTTCTCCCCACCCCATCCGCGTGCAGGTACGCCATGTCGGTGGGGCTGAAGAACCCCGGGTCGCTGGCGCCCTCGCACATGGCGGGGCTGTTTGACTGGGCGCTCATCGAGAGCTGCAGCTACTACAGCGACTGGGGCGGCGGGGAGTGGTACAGTGGCAAGTACCAGTGCGACTACGCCAACGAGTTCATCGTGCGCAGCAAGGCCGTCTTTGCCATCGAGTACGCTGAGCAGTGGGGCACGTCTGCTACCACCGTCAACGGCATGCGCTTCCCACAGGTTGGCTGCTGCTCGAGTTACTTGAGTTGCTTTCACAGCTGCGTGCGCCATTGGTGACTCTGGTGACCCTGCCTTGCTTCCTCACCTTGCCGCTTTGCCCTGCATCCATTGTACATCTACTTGGTCCAGTCCAGGCTGTTGACCGTTATCACCTATGAGCCCATCCCGCACCATGCCATGCATCCTCGCCCTCCTTACCGCTCCCTGCATTTGTCCGATCCATTCTCACTCGCATCCCACCCGCCTTACACTCGCGCCCTCCCCTCCTCCCCCCCCAACAGGGACTATGTGCGGACAGCAATGCGCACGGCTTCACCACCAACCTGTGCACCTTTGATCTGGGCCTGGGCCCGCGCTACCGCTTTGCCAACTGCCCCTTGCACAAGCCCGCAGGGTGCGATGGCGTGTGGAGGCAGTGTGTGAAGGAGCAGGTGTACCGCAAGTACCAGCAGCGGCACATGGAGCGCTGGGACGCTGTGGGGCAGTGCATGAGGGCCAGGAGAGCAGCCTGCAAGTACAAGGCGTGACTCTGGGGATATCAGTGCCAGGTCGTTCTAGGTGTGGTGCTATGGCCTGCCGCCATGTGTGTATAGCTCGCTGGACGGATTCCTGGATGTGCTCTTGGTCTCAGACAGCATCCCTTATTCCAGGAATCGCCCCATGGGGGATTGTCCATGGCTAATGAGTAGCGGTCTAGCAGACTTCAGTCCATGGCCAATGCGGTATGCCCTGCTGTAAATTTGTACTGCCCAGCGCAAACACAAGATGCATAAGAATCATCGCAGTGTGGGTGCTGTACTCTCCTCTTCCATGACGACGGGGCATGTGACTTGCAGACCAAGCATGCAACTATGTACAAATGGGCAGCGCTTCCTCCATGCGCGTGCCCTGCACTTCCCCCATGACCCCATCCCTTGCCAGCCAGCCAGTCATGAGTCCCGTCATAGCTGCCCGCGTGTCACCGCCAGCACTCCCTGCACGTCTATCCGCCGCTTCTTGGCCAAGAGCTCTGCCCTCCTTGCCAAATCCGACTTCCTCTCCGCACCACTGCTTCTACTGCTGCTCTTGCTCCTGCTCCCGCTGCTGCTGCTGTGTGTCACAATGAGTTGTTGCGTGCATTCTCGTTTGTGCCGCTTATGCGATGAGCTCCCAGCAGCAGCAGAGCCAGCAGCAGCAGGAGTGGCAGCGGGGGCGGCAGGCGGGGTGAAGATGGAGGCAGTGCGGATGGCAGCGCGCTTCTCAGCCCGGTTGTGGCTGAAGCGCTGGGCGAAGGGCGCTGCTGCAGCGGCGGCGGCATCGGCCTGTGAGGGCGGCAGCAGGCGGATGCCCAGCCCCCTGCTGCGGGCCTCCGCCTCCTCCTCCGCCACGCGCTTCTTGCGCTCCTGGTGGCCATGCCATGCCAGCATGGGGTTGAACAAACAACAAAACAATATTCTGACGCGCCTAAAAAACGCCCAGCCCCTGCTGCACCTCTGCCTCCTCCTCCGCTACCTGCTTCTAGCGGTTCTTGTGGGTCATGGCAGGATGGGGTTGGACACGGCAATGCCAGGGAGAGGTGTGAGATGACGAGATGCCCTGGAGGAGGGGAAAGTGCTGCGTGGAAGGCGTCCAAGGTGGCAAAGGGCGGTGGACACATGGGACCATACCATGGACGTGCGTGTGACGATCAAGCAAACTACAGACGAAGCTCACATACACAACAAAACGACAAGATTCCCATCAAAACACCACCTCGCCTTCTCCTCCCAGTTCCCGCTTCCTCCACCCACCACACAGAACCCCCATCTCTCCACCGGGGTCCACCCCACCCCCCTCCCCCTCCAACCCACCTCCCCCACCCCTTTCTCCCCAATCCACCCACCCGTTCCGTGTGTGCGTACCCTGAGTTGCGATCTGAGCATGCGGTTGAGGCGGAAGGGGTCGGCGTGCTTAGTGTCAGCCGCAGCTTTGACTGCAGCGAGATTGGGTGCTGCCGCTGCTGCGCGCTTGCGGTCGCGCCCCCCGTGCTCCAAGCGCACCAACGGGTCCAACAGTTGCTCGCGTTCTGTGCAGGGTGGGGGAGAGGGGGAGAGGGGGGGGGGGGAGAGGGAGGAGAGGGGAGAAGGGCGAGGGGCGGTGGGAGAGGAGAAGGGGGAAGGGGGAAGGGGGGGAGGGGAGGGGAGAGAGGGGAGGGGGAAGAGGGGAGGGGGAAGAGGGGAGGGGGGAGAGGGGAGGGGGAGAGGGAGGGGGGAGAGGGGAGGGGAGAGGGGAGGGGAGAGGGGAGGGGAGAGGGGAGGGGAGAGGGGGGAGAGGGGAGGGGGGAGGGGAGAGGAGGGAGAGGGGAGGGGGACGGGGGAGAGGGGGAGAGGGGAGGGGGAGTAGGGGAGTGACCAAGGGGTGGAGGGTGGAGCGGAGGGGGGAGCAAGGCGCAAAAAAGCGGCGTTTTTTTCAAAATTTTGTCGTTTTAAACGACATCATAAGATTCCGTCGTTTAAAACGATAAAAAGCGGTCAATGTTCCCTTTTTTGTTATGGTGCAAAAAAGCGATCGTTTCATACGATCGCTTTTTTTGTACCCAACAATTGAAAACGTATATCGCGTATGTTGGTTTGGCTGACTCGATTTTGGTGTCGCTCCAAAGTCAGATTCGAGCTGACACAATTTTCCAACAAAACGCGACTCGGCGCCAATGTCGATCCACGAATTGGATCCAATTCGCGAAGCCGGTGCGAACTGTACCCCACTGTCGCTAGTGGCCTGGTGTACAGTTTCGCCTCTGAAAATGAGTTCGCGATGTACGCGACACATCGCGAACCTGACGTGTCGCAAATTTCCCAATCCCCCCAGAGGTGTGCACCCTTTCAAACGACTTCATCAAACGGCCTTCACGATTATTGTCGAGTTGAGCACATACAAATGTGGAGCACGACAGAACAGGTGAGTGCATCTCAAATTCCAGAGACTAAGAATCTTAGCTAGCTCAGTCAGGGGTAGCAGCAGCGCCCAAGACCACGGTTCCGCCATGCCGCGGACTCCTTCTCGCTTGTGGGAACACGTCACCCGCACGTTTGATGACGACGGTAAACTCGTTAGGGTCCAGTGTAATCACTGCACGCAAACCATGACGTCAAGCGCCACACGAATTCAGGAGCACCTTTTCGGTACCCCGGCCACGAAGTCAAAGAATATCGCCATGTGCACCTCCGAGCTCGCGCGGACGCTGCGCGAGAAGGGAAACACCGCCGGATCTTCGCGTGGCTCGGCCTCCACATCGACAAGCGAGGCGACGACGTCCAAGGCGCAAGTCCGGCTCGATATCCGCGCGATGTCGGATCAGGCTGGCAAGGAGCGTCTTGACCACTTGTGGGCTGTCGCGGTGGCCGAGAATGACTGGGCCTTCCGCTGTTCCCAGTGAGTAGTCCTCTCTCTATCGCCATTGATGCTCCCGCAGCATGTCTTTCGCACCCGTTCCTCGCATGGCACGCACAGCACTCCCCTCGCTCTAAGTCCCCGCCTTTTCCCACCCACCAGGTCCAAAGCGACGCAGGCGTTCGTGAACGCGGCAGTGGTGTACGGGAAGCCGTACAAGCTACCCTCGGCATACAAGGTGTCGGGGCACCTGCTCCAGAAGTTGAAGGCCGACACCTTCGAGTTGGTGTCGCCCCTCAAGGAGACTTGGAAGTCCGTCGGCTGCACCTTATCAATCGACGGCTGGTCTTGCTTGAAGAGCCGCGCCATCGTATGCATCATTGCGCAAAACGAGAGCGGCCCGGTGCTCGTCGATGTAGTGGACTCTAAGACCGCCAAGAAGACAGGGTCTTACTTGGTGGCCTTGATCCGCAAGGCCATATGCGAAGTCGGAGGCAAAGCCGTTGTCCAGTGCGTGATGGATAATGCCAGCAACAATAAGAAAGCGTCCAGCCTTTTGAAGGAGGGCTTTCCGGCCATTTTTTTCACCAACTGCGCCGCTCATTGCCTAGACCTGATGCTGAGTGACATTGGGGGCATTCCCGTAGTGCAGAAGGTGCTAGCGGAGGCGCAGCGGGTAGTGATGATGGTTAAGAACAGTGCGAGCGCAGTCATTCTCTTTAGGGAGATTTTCAGCCAGCTCGAACTTGTCAAACCTGGAGCCACTCGTTTTGGAACCCAGGTGATAATGATCACCCGGTTCCTTGCTGTGAAGGAGTCTTTGTTGCGGCTGGTCATTAGCGAGGAGTGGAAGGGGGTAGCCGTCAGTGGGACAAAGGAGGGTCAGGAGATTCGGGCGATGCTGCTGGAGGAGAAGTTCTGGGAGTCCGTGAACGTTGTACTTCGGCTCATTCAGCCGGTGTACGACGTCCTTCGGGCAGTGGACACGCGAGCACTGCTGATGGCCAAGATCTATGGCCTCATGGTTGAGGCCACGGTCAAGACCAACGAGGCGGCTAGTGCTGCAGGTAAGTCATCCGCTTTTGTCCCCCTCCCAGCTTTCTTCTCTGCCCTTTGCATGCTGGGCTGGATCCCCTTCCCGAACCCCTGCTCTCTCTCCACCCAATCCCATTTCCACAGCTACTTTCTTCATTAAGAAGACCGAGCTGATGGAAGCGAAGGACAGAGCCGCCTTCTTGGCTAGCGTGAAGAAGATTATCGCAAAGAGGTGGGACGCTCAGCTGCACAACCCCCTCCATCCTATGGGGTGGCTGCTGAGCCCCCTCAACCAATTTGCGGACGAGGTGTGGGGCGACACCGAGCTCCGCAAAGGGGTTGACGCCGTGCTCAAGGCACGTGAGTCTGACCCCGGACGGCGCACCATGCTGCAAGTGCAACTGCAGTCATTCCACAAGGGGGAGGGGAAGTTGGGGGGGAAGGACGCGAGGTGGGCGGCTTCCGCTCTGGTCCAGTGCGGAAGGATGTCGGAGGCCGAATGGTGGCTCATCCACGGAGAGGAGGTGCGCCAGCTGCAGGAGCTTGCGGTCAGGATCCTCTCCCAGCCCATCACCTCGTCTGAGGTTGAGCGTTGGTGGTCAGCCATGGCTGGAGTCCAGCGGCGTGACCGAAACAACCTCAGCCCCGAGACCATGATTGACATCACATGGGTCGCCTTCAGTAGGCGCGCCCGGGCTGTGTTCGACCTCAAGCTAGAGCTACGCTCGAAGCTCTATGCCGGCCTTGATTCTGGAAGGCTGAAGGAAGGCTGCAGCGTGCCCGAGGCGCCCCCTCAGCAAACCGAGCCGGCAGAGGAGGAGGAGGGGGAGGATGCCGTGGGCTGTGCCATCGATTGGAGGAAGTTCGGGGCAGCCGGGGGGTGGAAGAAGAAGCGGTCAGCCAAGCGCAAGGCCGGGAAGCGGGCAAAGAAGATGGGCGGGTCCAAGAAGGGCAAAGAGAAGCGTGCAGCAGACTCGGATGAGGACGAGGAAGCAGGGAGCTCTTGTGAGAGCGGGGGGGATGAATCCCACGAGAGGCGCAAGGGGGGAGCACCATGGGAGCAGAGCGGGAGTGAGAGCGGGGAGGAGGATGACGAGGAGGAGGAGGATGAGTAGAAGTAGTAAGGGGGGGATTAGGGGCCGGAGGAAGGCAGGGAGCTTTGTTCACGGGGAAAGTGGAGGAGGATTAGGAATAGTAGGGGGGGGACAGTAGGGGCAGCGCGATAGGGGTAGGGAGCTCTACTCACCTCTTTTATGGCGAATCTGTTGTCGTAGTCAGTGCAGTATGCCTCAGGGATAGTGCCATGAGGTTTTTAGACTGATAAATAAAAAAATTGACTGGAGTTTTCGAACAAAAAAACGGCGTTTTTTCAAAAAAAGGCCGTATAAAACGATTGTATTAAACGGCCTGTTTAAAACGAACATCGATTTTTTGCGCCTTGGGGGGGAGAGGGGAGGGAGGAGGGGGAATAGGGGAGTGACGAGGGGGTGGAGGGTGGAACGGAGGAGCAATAACACCGGGACGGAGAAGACGGAAAGTTCGTCGCGGGGAGGGGTGATGAAGCATGCATGGATAGAACGGTGGGGATGTGGAGACGGTGTGCGGAGATGTGTGCAAGAGCCCAGCATACCCTCTTTGGACGGCAGCTCTGTGGTGCCGGCATCCTCCGCAACATACTCCACTGTCTTGCGCTCGCCCCCACTCACCTGCTCGCAGGTACACATGCGCATGCAAAGGGGACGAAGAGGGAGGATGGGCGAGTGTTTATGTGCGTGTGAGTACGGGAGGAAGGGTCATAGATGATGCAAAAAACAGTGAGACGGGAGGGTCAGGAGAAAGGGGTTGGGGGCGGGGGAAGGGGGGAAAGAGGGAGAGGGGGGAGGAAGACACAGAGAGAAGTAGGAGGAAAGCGAGGCAAATAAAAGCAAAAGGTACGGCAATGCATGAATACATCCAAAGCACAAATGATGGGGGCACTGACCACGACATAGTCACAGTTCTTGGGGTCGGTGTGGATCTCAATCTCGTGCTGGCAGCACGCCGCCCGCATCTTGAAGCTCCATATCTGCACCACAAACAAACAGCGCGCACACGGGAAAAAAAGGGGGTTGAATGCCCGCGTGCAGGGGAGAAATACTGGCGTAGCCGGCAACAGGGAGTGCGTGCGGCAAGCATGAGAGCATGAGGTAGCTTGGTGGCGAGGCGGCCACCTTGGTGGAGAGGTAGTTGCCGATGTGCTTCTTCTCGGCGTTGAAGCGCACGCCCTTGGCGATCATGCTCTTGCACCCGCCGCACCACACGTGGAACGGCATCTCGAACCTGCCGCAAGAGAGGGAGTCGTAGCGTGGCGCCAGTCAGAGCGACGCAGTGTGAGGCAAACATGAGAAGAAATTCCCCCCTGCCACTCGCCTAGCCTTGTGCAAGCAAAAGCGCGTGCCACAGCAGGCGCACATGCACGCATGGCACATAACCGTACGACGCGCAGGCGATCATGCAAGGCTGGCGGGTGCAGTGCAACAAGGTACAGCGGAAGCGGAAGAAAAGCGTACGGAGCAAGGCAGGATGAAAGAGAGGGGAGAGGAAAAACGGGAGGGGAGGGGATGACAAGAAAAGGGAGGGGTGGGGTTGGAATTAAGAAGGAGAAAAGCGGGACAGCGGTATTCAGGTCACGGTATGGAAACGAACCAACAAGTCCTATGGTTGGTGCCATGTGGTGCGGTGCGGTGCACACCTGATGACGAGAATGCCATCGCCCATCTTCTTGGCTCGTTCTCGCAATGGATGCTGCCCTTGAAACTTGTTCAGCGACCCCTGCCACCACACCAACGTCGCCACACCATGTCACGCCATGCCGCACCATGTCACGCCATGTCATTCCATGCAACACCACCACAACACGCCGTGCCAAGCCATGCCAAGCCATGCCACGCCATGCCACGCCATGCCATGCCATGCCACGCCATGCCACGCCATGCCACGCCATGCCGCCATACCACGGCGCGGCAGCACATGGAGATGCAATAGCGCATGAGAGGGTGCTTCCTTGCGCGGTCGCATGTGCGGGAGTGCCGGAACGATCTAGTGTCGCGCTCATGCAGCAGTCAACCAGTGAGGAAAGGGGGATAGGATCGACAGGCGGCAGGACGCGTGGGCGAGGAGAGCAAGGGAGAGGAGGATGGAATGCGAGGGCGGAGAGAAGCGAGGGGAGGGGTGCTGGGAAGAAGGACGAGGGTGTGGGGAACGTGCGTGCACGGTAGCGTGCGACGAGGCGATATGGACCAGACTAGGGAAGCCTTGCAGATGAGAGAGCGAGCAGCCGCGCGACCACCGCGTACCTGCTCCGGCGTCCATTCCGGCGGGTAGTAGAAGTTGTCGGCTCGCGCCGCTGCCAGCGTCGACTGCAGCCACGAGCGGGAAGAGGGAAAGAAAGGAGGCACGAGCTCAGGTTGTGACCGACGACGAATTAGGTCTCCGCAGTAGGCTTGAGCGTACTTTCTGCAAAAGAGACAAGTTCAACAGCGAGACGAGCGCGTACCATGGCGGCTGTTAAAACTGAGGACTAGCTGACTCGATCACACCCCTGCGTAGAGACCGCTCGCCACACACACAGTTAAGTGGCCGAAGTAGCAGAAAAATGCTCAGGAACCGCGTCCCTGCTCGCCACTTGGTTTAGAACCCTAGAATCTATCCTCGGCGCAATATAATGAACTCCGGTACAAGGTGTCACAAAAAGTCACACATGATTCGAATATTGTACACTTCCCTCTTATACGAATATTGTAGCTTCCCCAAGAGGCCAAGACGTTTTGGATTCGCTAAGGTTGATGTGTTGAAGGGTGTAACGGAGGGATGCCATTCATTTCCTCAAGAAAAACAGAAGACAACACATAAGTTGTTGGAAATATCTCAAAGGACTTAAGCGTTTCTGAAGTATAACACTGTACTCGAAGAAGATTACAGGGGAGCACGCGAGTCAACGGAGGTTGCACGAGGGGGCGGACAAAGAATGCGAAAAGACTCGAAAGGTCGCAACTGGAGGTTACGACTGACCGTTACAACATCACGGATGGTAACCGAAGCGGCAATCGAGTCGCTGTGCGACTCGATAAACCGTTCCTGTAACTGTATTCTACAACTGCTTTCTTATCTTCTATATATTGCTGTATGCTTGTTCCTTTAATCAATCACTTGTTCTCACATACTAGTACAAGGGTTCAAACCGTCTCAACTTCCGCTGCACTACTCAAAGTCTCAAGTCTTCACAGCTGGGACTTAGTCTCTGAAAAGATCCTAAGGGTTTTTTCTCAGCCCAATATAAGTCAAGTAGGCCTAGTGAAACGTATAGAGTACAAACAATACAGGCATGTTAAACACAGACAAATCACTAGGTGAGCCCACAAAGTGCACATGAATCCAGCTCATTCCGTAGCATGACACCAGTATCAGAAAATTGAATGATGGTGATAGGGGGAGAGTACACACAATATAGCTAAGTGTTGTACCCTCTAAGAGGCTACCCTATACAGTCAATACAAACATAACAAATAGACATGTTTTACACACCCCCTAGACTGCATAGGGGAAAGTCCTAAACAAACAGCTCAGGGCGGCACTACTAGTCCAACCTCTGAGACAAGGGTCTGAGCGACCAGTCAGAAGGAGTACAGACAAGGCAAGCAAAGAGCAGGGCGGCACTACTAGTCCAGCCACTGGGAGAGGACACAAGTCCAGTCTGAGTATACATATAAAGGACAGTACAAAGTCAAGGTCCTAGCAAGTGAGAGGCTACAGGAACTAGACCAAGCTGTACACAGTGCCGCTGATGATCTTTAGGCGCAAGCGCCTTCGTAAAGATATCAGCCGTGTTGGCACCTGAGGCCAAGTGTACTACGCGAGCCTGACGTCGCTGCTGTAGCTCACGCAGGAGGAAGTACCGCAGCTGAATGTGCTTCGCTCTGCCCTCGAGTCGAGGCTCCTGACACAGGAGGATCATGGCCCTGTTGTCAGCGAACAGGACCGGGGCAGAGCTAGGTCGCTCACCTAAGTCAGTGAGCAAGAAGGTCAGCCAGCGGAGCTCCTGTGCCGCCATGGCACCGGCGTAGATCTCAGCCTCACAGCTGGACTGTGCAACAGACGAGGAGCGAGTAGCTCTCCACGAGACGGCACCTGAGCCAAGGCTGAAGCAGTAACCCTGGGTAGACCGGAGTGTCTCAGCGTCGTCTGCCCACGAAGCATCTGTGTGCCCAGTAAGGACCGCTGGCCTGCGTCCTCCTAGCACTAACCCCATGCCCGATGTACTAGCAAGATAACGCAGAACCCTCTTAGCGGCAGACCAGTGCTGCGGTCGGTGTCTGCCTGTGGCCACAAAGCGAGCCAGGATGCTGAGAGGGTATGCGAGATCTGGGCGAGTGCAAGTCATCAGGTACATGAGGCAACCCACCAGCTCTGCGTAGGGGCCGCTCGGCTCTACCAACTCCTCAGGCACTGGAGCGGAGAGCCTGTGGTCTACAGGCAGAGGGGTGGGCTGTGCAGAGGAGAACTGAAGGCTGAACCTCTGAAGGACCTGGCGCACCAAGTGTGACTGAGTCAGGGTGATGGTGCGCGCAGCTCTGTCCCTGGAGATCTGCAAGCCAAGGTAACGGCGCAGTTCTCCAAGGTCAGTGCAGGTGTGTCTCTTCAGCAGCTCTGCCTTCACGGAGGCCAGCGCGTCCCTGTCTGCTGTGGCAAAGACCAGGTCGTCGACGTAGACGAGGATGTAGAACGGAGTCTGGCCAGCACGAACGAAGAGTGAAGGGTCTGCAGAAGACGGAAAGAACTGCAGGTCAGCAAGCGTAGCACGCAGAGTGTCGTGCCACTCACGGGGAGCCTGGCGCAGGCCGTAGACGGGACGCCGCAGGAGCCACTGGGTCCCAAGAGGGAAGGTGCCAGTAAAGCCCGGAGGGCGGCGCAGGTAGACCTGCTCGTGTAGGCTGCCCTGAAGGAAGGCAGTGGAGAAGTCGAGAGAGTGAAGCTCGTAGTCACGCTGAGCAGCTAGGTGTAACAGAACCCGAAGAGTAGTCATCTTCGGGGTCGGAGCGAAAGTCTGGAAGAAGTCCACCCCCTCGCGCTGACTAAAGCCTCTAGCCACATAGCGCGCCTTGAAGACAGGCGGCTCTCCAGGAGGGCGCTTCACCTTGAAGAGCCAGCGGCCATCGACTACGTTCACCCCAGGTGGGGGAACTGCGTCGACGAAGGTGCCGGTGGATCTCCAAGATGCCATCTCCTGCTCCATGGCAGCTATCCACTGCGAGGCCCAGGGTCCCGAAGTCGCCTCAGCGTAAGTGCGAGGGGTCGGGATGTCAAAAGCGTCTGGGTCACCCTCAGGGACTAGCATCATGGAACAGAGATGGGGAGCAGCCTCAGACAGGAAAGCAAGCTCGAACTGGCGGTCCTCCAGGACGTCACTGCCAAGGGCAGGAGCACCCCCGACAGACGGAGGACAGGCAGGGTCAGAGACCAGAGCGGTGGCGTAGTCAAGGCGGCGGGTAGAGGCGAAGTCAGCCACAGCAGCGACAAGAGCGTCAAGGCACGAGACTGGAACAGACGGGTCGGTAACGAGAGAGGCAAGGACCCGAGGAACGAGTGGACGAGCGGCACGAAGGTAGTCGGACAGCGGGGGGGCCGCAACAACAAGGGAGGACGGAGGAGGCGACGGCAGAAGGGGAGGACGAGACGCGTGTGAACGAAGCAACATAGGGTGGGAGCGCAGGACAGGCGAGGCAGGACGAGCACGGGAGGGACGGTGAGACCAGACGTGCGATGGAGGAGTCGGGTCAGGAGACAGGGGAGGGGACACAGGAGGTGAACGAGGGGGGAGACGGGCCGGGGACGAGTCCGGCGGAGGGAAAACAGGGCCGTAGACAGGAAGAGGAGGAGACGGTCGGGGAGGAACCGACGCAGGGTCGGGGGACGGAAGGCCGAGCAGGCGAAGGGCGGACACCGGCGGGGACTGCTGCTGCGGCGGCACAACGGCGACACCTGGACCGCAAGCTGCTCCTCGGCTACCACCGGCACGCTCCACACCCGCACCCCCAGAGGGACCACCCTCAGGGCGACCGGGACGAGCACCCCCAGAGTCAGCGAACGGGGGCTGCGACTGCGGCGGCGGCGGCGACGGCGACGGCTGCAGTGGCGGCAGGGACGGCGGAGGAGGGGACTGGGGAGGGGACACCTGGGGAGGGGCGGCCGGCGAGGACTGCACCGGAGGGCCACCAGAGTCAGAAGACTCCTCAACCGGGTCCACGGACGGAAGGGGGGTGACATGGGAGACACCAGAGGGGGCGGGACGGGGAGGAGGAGGAGGAGGGGCAGGGACTACCGGGGAAGGGGTGACCAGGAACAGGGGGGGGGTAACCGGGGGACCACGGTGGGGGAAGCGGCGGTAGTAGGAGACGGACTCGTCAAAGGTGACGTCACGAGAGTGAAAGAAGCGGTGAGACGGCGGGTGGTAAAAGTGCCAGTCGGACGCGTCAAGGGGAAAACCGAGGAAGACGCAGGGAAGGGTGCGGGCAGTGAGCTTGTCCGTGCCGGAGGCACGGACGTGAGCAAGGCAGCCCCAGACGTGGAACGCAGACGCGTCACCAGGAGACCCAGTCCACAGACGGGTCGGCGAAACCTGCGGCTGCTGAGGGTGCGGCCACAGGTTAAGCTGGTGAGAAGCGTAGCGCACAGCGAACGGCCACAGAAAATGGGGTGCACCGGCATGGACCATGGAGGTGCGAGCGACCTCCATGACCAAGCCGATGCGTCGCTCAGCGACCCCATTCTGCTGTGGGGAGTCCGGTAGGGTGAACGTCTGGGTGATGCCCTCCGCACGACAAAAGCGACCAAGGACACCTGAGGCAAACTCGCCACCACGGTCTGAGTGAAGACGCAAGACAGGGAGACCGCGGTGGACACGCGCAGAGACAAGCCAGGGGATGAGGGCGCCAGGCACGTCGGCCTTGCGCTCCAGGGGAAAGACTGTGGTGTAACGAGTGAAGTCGTCGACAAGCACAAGGAAGTAGCGCTCGCGACGCGGCCCAGGGACGGGGGCGGGGCCCTAGACGTCCAGGTGCAGGGTGTGCAGCGGCGCGACGGTAGGGGGGAACGAGGAGGAGTGAGGGGCACGGCGAAGCCGACCCTCGACGCAAGGCGTGCAAGGTGGAGCTCGGGAGGAGGGAAACGCGGGGAGTGAACCTGGGAGACCAAGGACAAGACCGTGCTGGGACATGTGACGCAGACGCGGGAGCGCAGGGTGACCTAGGCGGTGGTGCCACAGGAGGGTCGGGTGAGTGAGGGAGCGACAGGAGCACGCAGCAGCAACCTGGGTAGACACAGCCACCTGAGGGGGCGCTCCAGCCGGGGGGGGCACGGTGTCCAGAGTGAACAGGCCGGACACCGGGTCCCGGGGGAACGTGGACAGGGGGGCACCAGTGGCGGCCTCGGTACAGACAGCATACCGCTCGTGACCAGGGAACGTAGTGGTGACGCCAAGGTCCTGGAGGCAGCCGACACCAACTAGGTTCCTGGAGAACGAGGGGATATGCAGACCTGTAAGAGAGCCCGAAGGAACCGCCGGACAGGGAAGGGTGGTGGAACTGCGGGCGACTACCGGACCGCCGGAGG